AGCTGCAGTCACACATTTACTTCTGTAAACCGGATTATGGCATTGCTCCTTTGGACATGTGGGAAGCTTCTGGTAGCCCGTCACAAGAGCCGTCCCTGTAGCCCCCCTCTGCCAAAACCTTGTCACACAAACCCGGTACAAGGCCATGGTAGTATAAAGAAATTGTGAAAAGAGTACTTTTTCGGTACAATGTAACTAACTGTTTACATTACCTGCAGTGATATCCTCCAATTCAAACCCAGTTACTAATTTTTTATCTTTATACCACTAAAGCCATTCTTTTAAATGGATATGGCTCTGCCATCTTCCTGTCTTTTTCTTTTTTTTTTCCCCCTCAGGGCCTACTTTTATATCACGGAGCACTCCAGACCCCTCATCTCACTCCATGGCTATATTAGAATCCTGTATTAATGCATGTAATGTTTCTCTGCATGTATACCAACTACCTCACAAACTTCTCCCTGTGGTCTGCTGCTCTCTTCTAATCATCAAAACTTCAGGTAACAAATCTGGGTTTGAATTCACTGAAGGTTAGATAGACTTACATCTTCCCACTTTGCAGTCAAAACTTAAGAATCAATGGCATTATAAATATAAACTCATAAAGACAAACTCCAAATTTATCTTCAGTGTTAAGACTGCCACTTTTAGCTTAGTCTGCACCAAAAAAAAAAAAAGTTTGTTTATGATGTTTGTTTATGGTGTCTGCTTATCTGTTGGTTTCTACTACTCCCTCTCATACATGTTTGGAATCAATCTACCAATTGTGAACAAATATGAAAGACGAACAGAAGTCTCTGGGATGATAAAATTCTCTAAGTATCATGAAGATCAATATCCAAGTCAAGGAGAACGACGCAAGGTACTGTTTCTATTGAGCACCAAAGTTACCTGTCCTGTTGGGGCAAGACAGAGGCATAGGTGATGTAAACACAGAGGGCACAAAATTGTGGGAAACCAGGATTGAATATTTCTGGTGCCATGAGGTCAGATATGCTTAGAATACAACCATTCATGAGTTCTGAAACCTTTTAAATGCCTCAATTAACCACAAGTGCCTTTTTGCCTCAACTCTCAATATTTCTTGACTACATAAACCTATGACCTCAGACCAACATCTTCAAGACATTTTATGAAGAAGTCTTCCTCAAGGGTAGAAGGAACAGCTTTTACCACAACATGATTTTTATCATTCCTGTTGTACTTAAGGGGAAACATTTGTCTAAAAAAATCCAATCAAGGAAATTTTTCTTTCCCAAATTAGGGACTGCAATGGGATATTCTGGCCAGAATCTGAGAATACACCTCTTACAGCAGCATCAAAAATACTTCTGGTAGAAAACTAAGAAATGTGACCACTGTGTCCCTTTTATCCCGTCTTTCTCATTCTATGTAGGACAGTGCTAATTAGTTGCTCCCACAGGAATTCATCCCACAAACTCAAACCAGCCCTTCTCTGCTCTAGCGTGCTGAGATATTAAGCTGCTGACTGTGCCATCAGACCATCATTTTTCAGGTGTTGCCCTTAACGTTAAGCACCTCGAATCTGATGTGGTATAAAATCTGCATGGAAGGAAAGAAGTTAAAATGTCAGGCTGGGGTTCTAGCCTTGACCAAAACTGTCCTGAAGGCAAAATGCCACATGATTACTATATTTTTGAAGAGTGGTAGTTTCAAACTCAAGCAGACTGAATTTCTGTAGTTCACTGAGATGTATTGAAGGAATGTAGATCCTGGGAGTGTATGATCTTTGACTCATGCATAGAGCACAAAGATGTAGTCAGCTATAAATAGCATGCAGGAATAATGCAACCATTACTATATTCTGCTACAACTACACTGTTATTCTGCACGATGGACATGTAAAATCCAGGTCTAGCCTTCATCAGCAGAATTAAAACCAAGTTTGTCTACACAGAGAGATCCATAAATAGAATGGTTTATATTGAAGACATATAAAGATGCGCCAAGGAAGTTCAGATTCCACATTAGGAAAAGGATATTCACTGAGAGGGTGCTCAGTCACTGGAAGTGGTCACAGCACCAAACCTGTCAGAGTTCAAGGAATTCCTGGACAGTGCTTTTAGTCACATAGTTTAGCTTTAAGTAGTCCTGCAAGAAGCAGGGAGTTGAACTTGATTATCCTCATAGATCCCTTCCAGCTCGAGATATTCTGGGATTCTATGCTCTTATCCCTCTACATTTAAGCCTGATCTATCTCCCGCTGATGGCAATATGCCAACTTCATTAATTAAGTGTTGGACTGAACCATTTATGCTACACTTAATGTCAGGAAAAGTTCATTTTTAACTTTCAATTGGCAACAGAATCTCTAACTTACTGTTTAACTATATTGTATATGTATTTTTAAAATACGCATGAGGGGCATAACTGCTTTGTAGATGTCAGTATGAAGACAACCTGGATAAGAAATTGTAAACATTCACAGAAGACTCCAAAGCCAAGTAACTGTGACATGCACGCATCTGATGGGGAACCAATTTTACCATGGAAAGATTAAACTAAAACTCTGAGCAGGCTGTTCAGATTTGGTACAATGGGTTTGGGACAACTTAAAACTCCAACCTCCTCAGTCTCTCAGGAGTTTGATGGGGATCTGGCCTGGCACTACACTAGAACCAAAATTTGTCATCTCCTCTTCATCTTTTTCCCTTTCCCATCTTCTTCCTCTCTTTTGCCAGTGTAACTTTGGAAACCTACAACCAGATAGGGATAAATTACTTACACTGGATTGTTTTTTAACCTGTGTCTTCAAAAGTACTGTTCACATGCTAACTTCTACTTAACATGCACAGGTAACGTAGGCTGAAATGCACCTTACCAGATAAGCATATAACCTCATATTCTATTTGAACAAAAAAAGATAATTTCAGACAAAAATCTCATCATGGACCACTAAGCAAATGGACAACTTAAAAGTAATTTTTCCCAACCAGATCACTCTTTTATTTTATTTTTTAACTATGAACCCTTAAGGATCAGGCTTTATCAACACTGTTAATATTCATGTTAAATAGCTTGATGTATTTATTTATTAATTCCCCCTAAACATTTTGGGTTGATCATGTGTTTGGGTGATGATCAGAGAATCACAGAATCATCAAATAGGTTGGAAGTGACCTTGAAGCTCATCCTAGTTTCCAGCCACCTGCCATGATGTCCTGGTTTTGGCTGGCACAGAGTTCATTTTTTTCTTAGTAGCTGGTACAGTGCTCTGTTTTGGATACAGTATGAGAAAAATGTTGAGACATATACTGATGTTTTGGTTGTTGCTAAGTAGTGCTTACCCTTAGTCAAGGACTTTTCAGTGTCTCATGCTCTGCTAGTGAGGAAGTGCACAAAAAGCTGGGAGGATCATGGCCAGAACAGCTGACTCATAGAATCATGAAACAGTTTGGGTTGGAAGGGACCTTAAAGATCATCTAGTCCCAACCCCTTTGCCACGGGGTTCCACTAGACCAGCTTCCTCAGAGCCCCATCCAACCCGGCCTTGAACACTTCCAGGGATGGGGCATTCAAAAATTCTCTGGAAAAGCTGTGCCAGTGCCTCATGACTCTCACAGTAAAGAATTTCTTCCTAATATTTAATATAGACCCACTCTTTTTCCATTTAAAGCCATGTCTCCTTGTCCTGTCACTACGGGCCCTTGCAAAAGTTGTAGCCCCTTTAAGTACCGCAAGGTGCTCTAAGGCCTCCCCCGACCTTTCTCTTCTCCATGCTGAACAATTCCAGCTCTCTCAGCCTGTCCCATAGAAGAAGCGCTCCAGGCCCACTGATCATCTTTGTGGTTTCCTCTGGACTCGTTCCAACAGGTCCATATCCTTCTTATACTGGGGGCCCCGGAGCTGGATGCAGTGCTCCAGGTGGGGTCTCACCAGAGCAGAGCAGAGGGGCAGAACCACCTCCCTCGACCTACTGGCCACGCTGCTTTTGAGTTCCTAGCCTGAAGTAAGCATTTTAGGTGTGAAAAAAAAATATTGAATTTGCTACACACTTGCTTACTCTTCTCACAAGCTCCCCGAACTAATTTACAAGCATTTTATATATTTCTTCATGTCTGTTGGAGCATTTCTGAGGAAGAGCAGTAGCGTATGAGGATAAACTCTTTGTGTATCGTATTTCAGAATATACTCCATTACTGTGTTCAGCACGTTCGTACTGAGAGCATAGTTCAATAATTTCTCCTTCTGGTAGCGCAGGCGGCTGGTGCGACCGTGGAACGTCCACTCTCCTGCCCCACGGCTGTTACCCCATTAAAAAGAAAAATAATAAATTACCTGTCAGAAAAAAAAAAATCTTAAAAACGTTTCCCGCTGGATCCCACTCCGGGGATGGGGTGTTAGAGCAGGGCTGAGCCGCTGAGGACAGCGGCGGCACACGCACCTCCCGCCCTTCGCTAGGACCTGCTGGGTGTGGGGAAGGAGAGATTCCCCGGCTGTACCACTCCGGGTGAGGAGGATATGAGGCGACCGCCGCTCGCCTCGGCACCACCCGGCTCCTCCGAGCCGAGCAGAGCCTGACCCCAGCGTTACATCCCGCCCGCTGCCCCAGCGCCCCTAAGCGCTGCCCGCCCGTCCCTTCTCCCCTCCCCACACACCCCCACACCTTCCCCCCCCTCCCTCACGGCGAATGGTGCGAGCCGCAGGTGTGGCCGGCGGGACAAACCAACAGCGGGCCGGGGAGGGGGTGAGCGGCGCGGCGGGAGGGCGGGACGGGACTGGCACCGGGCGCATCACCGGGAGCGACGCGGGAGGAGCGGCCGCCGCGGGAGATTGAAGTGCCGGGGCCGAGGAGGCGGGAGGCGCTGCTGCCAGTGTCGCCCACGGGGGCCGGTGAGTGTCATGGGCGGGCGGGGGTGGGAGCGCGGCCCCGGCGGCGGCTCCGCGGGTGCCCGTGCCGAGGGGGGCCGCGGGACGGGCAGGGCATCGCGGGGCTGCGGCCACTGCTGCTCGGGGAGGCCGAGGGGCCGCCTCTGCCCAGGTACCCCTATCCCCGGCCTGCCCCGCCGGGCTGTCTCTGCCGGACCTGCGGGATGGGAGGGAGGCGCGTGGCGAAGCGGGAAAGGGCGCGCGCCGGGCTGGGGAAAGCCGGGCTCCTCTCCCTCCTCTGCCGAAGGCTGCTGGCCCAGGTGTTGGCACTAAGGCAGGCCGTGAACTGGGTCACAAACCCGACCTTAATTTAAAGATAAAATCAGATTTTTTTTTTTTAATCATCACAATTTTTTAGGTTGAGTCAGCTTCCTGGGCTGATTCAGTGTATGGGCAGCGAGGGGAGAAACTCGTGGCTGGAGCTGCTGCACGTGGTGGAAGTGGTGGCTGAAAGCGTTAATAAAGCTGCTTGCTAATTAGAAGATCTGTGAAAGCTCTAATTAGAACATCTGTAATAACTCGTGAGTTATAATTTGGTCATTCTTATCTTGATGGAGCATTTATTTTAATGCTGAGGTGTTTCAGGTGCCTTTGGGTGGATGCATTTCTCCTTGAGCCTTAGAAACTGTATTGTGTGCGGGGTAGATTTCTTAGGTAAGAAGTAAACCTTTTTGGAAATGGATTCATTCTTGTACAGCAGCACTTGGAAAAAAAGCTCTGTGGGTCACTATTGCTCAATCAGCTTCAGGATTTTACTGCAAAAAGAGCAGGCTTTTAGGACACTGATAATTAGATGACTTTAATACTGTAATTTTCTGTGCACTTATCAGAACCACATTTACATCCTGTTACATACTGGATGTGCTTGTGTATATAGCTGTTCTTGAGTCTAACAGACATGATAAAAGGCATTTGCCCTCCCCCTCCCAGCCTTTAGAATCACAATGATGAAAGGCTGAAATATGTGGGAAGACAGATTTTTGAACGTTAGCGGATAGTTCTGTCCCTAACGCTGACAAATAGGGTGAGGAAAGATAGAATATTCCTAAGAAACTCTGTAATGACACTAGTTTGACAGGTCTCAAAAGCATCTTGCCAAATTACTTTTCTCTACAGAAGAAGCATGTCTCATATGCAGGACTCCACTGAGTTCCTTAAGTGAATATGGTAGCTGAGTCAGTAGCAGCAACTGTTTATAGTTCAGTCTTGTTAGATGACCTTTCCCATCTTCTGGTGAGAAGTTCGAGCTTCCCCTCCAGCCTCTTGCTGGTATTTTTATCTCGCTTTCCTTGTCTCAAACATCCCTATGCTGCCTAACTAGCTTTCTGTGTCTTCTCTCAGATGCTCTCAGGGCTTTACTTTCACTTCTTTCAGTTTCTTTTCCTCTTGTCTACAGAGGTCCTGGAATTTGCATTAATTTTCAATTCCTTTCTGGCGAACTTGAGCTTCTGTTAGAAAGAGGGTTTGATGCTGCTTGTACGGAGCTGGTAGATTGCTAGACTCAGCCCAGCTTGTAACTTCTGTATAGAATTGTAACTGATTGAATAAGCAGATCTTGGCTCAAATCACTGCCCTCCCTGGTCTTGTTACTGTCAGCTGAAAGTAAAAATCGTGAGTTTTGTTCTTCCTCTCTTTGCCACACTTTGCTGCACCTAACTTCGCTCATTTAAGCTAAGAAGTCATAATTAGCATCTTATTTATTGTTAGTGCTACTGAGAGCTTTGTAGCTCTTCCTCCCAGGTATGTTGCAAAACCACAGTAAAAAAAAAAAACCTTACAAGTTTGGAGAGCATCCTTTCCTGTCACATTTTCTGCATCAAAACCCTCTAAAGCCTGTTTACAATGCCAAGCAAAATTTAATCATGTAATTGCCATAAAAGTGTTTGTGGCTTCTTACAACTAAGAGTGGTATACAGGAAAAGTAGTACATTAGAAGTATTAAATGACTGTGGCTTCTTTAAATCCATTTTTAATGAAGCCTTCTTTTACCATCTCTGTTTTATTTCCATCTTCTTTCCTGCAAGTGGATGGAGTTAAAAAATATTCTTACAATGCTATCTGTTGAGGGGGGGGGAAACAACTCCAAGCCAAACGAAATCCAGCTAAACCCACAAAACTCACATACTGTGGATTATGTTTCAGACATGGAATCATAGGATGTTAAGTGGTTGGAATGGACCTTAAAGATGATCTAGTCTCAACATCCCTGCCATGGGCAGGGACACCTCCTGCTAGACCAGGTTGCTCAAGGCCTTATCTAACCTGGCCTTGAGCACTGCCAGGATTGGGGCATTCACAAATTCTTTGGGCAACCTGTTCCAGTGTCTCACCATCCTCACCGTAAAGAATTTCTTCCTCATATCTAACCTAAGTTTCCCCTCTTTGAGTTTGAACCCATTCCCCTTGTCCTATCACTACAGTTCCCGATGAAGAGTCCCTCTCTCTGGCTTCCCTGTAGGCCCCCTTCAGATACTGGAAGTTTGTTACAAGGTCTCCACTCAACCTTCCCTTCTCTAGCCTGAACAGCCCCACCTTTCTCACCCTGTTTTCAGAAGGGAGGTGTCCCAGTCCTTTTATCAACTTCGTGACCCCCTCTAGACTTGCTCCAACAGTTCCAGCTCCTTCTTATGTTGGGGGCCCCAGAACTCTGGATGCAGCACTCCAGGTGGGGTCTCGCCAGAGTGGAATAGATGGAGAGAATTAACCTCCCTCTCCCTGCTACCCAGAGTGCTTTGGATGCAGCCCAGGATTCTTTTGGCTTTCTGAGCTGCGCGTGCACATTGCCAGCTCAGTGCTGGGTGTTTCAACCATCAGCCCGATGTTGGTTATAAAACTGGAAAGCTATGGGATGGGCCTGGCAGGGAGCAGGGCTGACAGCTCGGCCCCAGAGCTGTGTCCCGCTCGCGCCGCTCCCTCCTGCTCCGGGACTGCCGCTCCCTCCTGCTCCGGGACTGCCGCTCCCAGAAGCGCCCGGGCCGAAAGTGAAAACAAGCGCCAGGTTACGCTCCTGTTTGTGCCCTCCCCTCTCCTCCCTCCCGGCGGGCCGCACGTGTCCTTCCTTTCCCTTTTGTTTTCCGCCCGCAGGCCCGCTGCGTGCTTGGAGCTTGGGACGCGCCCGCCTCCGGAACCGGGACCCTTCGGAGGTGCTCCCGGGAGCCGCCACCCGCTTCTCCGGAACCGCCGGTAAGCCGCGAGAGTGACGGAGCCGGGAGTCCCCAGGCTGCGCGGCGAAAGTTTGCTGCTTCTCCCCGCGGTTCCCACATGCGAGTGGACGGCGTGAGACAGGCTGCTGCTGCTCTTCGTGCTGCTCCCGCCGCTCCCTCGGGTGCCGGGGGACCAGCGCTGCCCCCACGCCCGCCGCCACACCTGCGTCCGGCCCTGGAGCTGCCCCGCGGGTCCGCCTGGCCATGTGGGACTAGGAGAAGTGCGGCCATTCTCCGGGGCGAACATGGATGCGGGCGAGGAGCAGAGCCATCCCGGCAGCGGCAGGGGGGACGCCCCCGGGCACGCCTCCATGGACCGCTACCTGCGATCTCAGGGCTTGTATAGGAAGAAGGTGGCCAAGGATGGATCCTGCCTTTTCAGGGCTGTGGCCGAACAGGTAACTCCTTATGTAAGCAGAGCTCCTCCTGCTCATGAAAGCATGGGAAGTGGATCTCATTAGTGGGTGGTAATTAGTGTTAAAACGCAGACAGGTGTAGGTTAAGGTTACATGGTCATGTGCCAGTGAAAAACTGGACTGTTAAAGTAATTTCCGTCCTGCGAGGTGAGAAAAGTTCTGCATGTACAGCCACCTCCTCTCACTGAGAAATCCTTACCTGTTTTGACCTTCCACCCCCTCCCCGGAGCTTTTTTCAGTGTAAGAATTCAACATTGGAGTACAACTGCTTTGTATGAGACTGTCTAGGAAATGGAATTTAGTGGAAAAGAGCTGAAAAGCCCTGTTCATAGCTTTGTTAATTAGCTTACTGTAAAATTAGAGAAAGTGAGTAATTTGTTCTCTGTTCTTCCTGTTGAATTCCCCTCCCCCATTTCAATGTTGGTGTTAAAGGAAAAAAGCGTCAGCGTCATCTTGTCTTAAGTACAAGCAGACAGCAGTGGGAGCTCTGGTGCTTCTGATAGGGGGAGCCCCGATTCCTGTGCTAATTATGCACAGTTCACTTTTTTTTTTTTAATTACTTTCCCCACTAAATTGTCAGTTTAGGCAAACAATTGGAATTGATTGGAATTGAGTGGGTTTTTTTATTTCAAGGGAATAATCAGTGAATATATATTGATATTCTGATGTTTTTAATACATAGAAGGTTTCTCTTGCACTCCAGTGTTGATACAACTTTTTCTCCAACTATTAAAATTTTAACATACCATTCTTACTTTATTATAGAATCATTTTGGTTGGAAATGACCTGTAAGAGGGGAAGGTCTTTAATTCAGAGTTAATAAGTGTTTATGCATGAATTTGGTCTAGTCTCTCTAATCTTCATTCAGAAAAACTGAGCTGAATTTGGAAGTGTTTTATATTAAGGGTAGTGTGTAAGGATTGCAAGAGATGCTGCAACCTAAATTGTCTGTAACTTCCCTATGTTGTAGTGACAGTGCAGACGAAGTCATGTTAGAGATAACTTGGAACCTGTGATGAAAGTAATAGTCTTCTAGTATAGATTTGAACAGAAGGTAAAATGCAGGTGTCATATAGGGATCTGAATTCCTGGCTTCTAAAACTTGGCTTTGGGCAACAGACCTCTTAAAAGTCAGGAGAAAGTAAACGTGCGCTCTCTGAGATCTGGTTGGATTTCATTTAAATGAGTGCATATTGACAGTTGGCTTCCTTATCCACTCCTGCTGTAATTTACCTTTTTGATTAACTGAAGTCCTTTACCAAGCAGTCAGTTAAAGATTAACAGTAAATGCTAGTCACTTTGCTTAGTAAATCCTCATAAAATTGAACGTCTGAGTTTAGTAAGTCTGTGAATTTTGCAGTTACTTAATTTTTGATTAATTAATTGGGGTTTCACTCACATCAGGATGATGTTACTGATGATGTAACATGTTAAATATTCTCAAAAATAAAACTAGAATATTTCCAAGCCTGTATTTAGACAAGAGTCATTAATTATTTGTGACCTGTCATCAAAACTCCTAAGATCCATTGTCACTTTCTTCTCTTTCTCCCTTTGTAGGTGTTACACTCTCAGTCTCGGCATATTGATGTTAGGATGGCTTGTGTAGACTATCTTCGGAAAAATAGGGAGAAATTTGAAGCAGTAAGTGTTCTTGTTTTCTTTGTGAGCATTCTAAAAAAAAAAAAAGTTACTTTATTCCTTGCACTTTTTCATTCTGCTGTTTGTGATGGTATTCATTATAGCTAAATACCAGTTGGTGCTTTTTAAAGTGAGTACTTTTTAAATTAATTGGCATATGTGTGGTAGGAACTAATTTTCATAAGCCTGGAGAAAGACCTCTGTGCTCCTTGGGCTGGACTGATGTGGGGTGGGACATGTTTTTAATGCTCATTAAAAAAGGAGAGCAAACTTCCTTAAACTTTAATAGTCTATAGTGAAGCTACCAAAATCTGGATTTTATTTAAGTATAATGCTTTAATAAAAGTAATAAAATATTCTTATTGTGGTAATTAATTGCTTTTACAGTATAAAAGGGATTTGACTGATGAGATTAGTGAAATTTGTTTCAGGGTCTACAGTTTATTATGCATTGGTACTGTACTTTTTTTTTTTCCCCCTAAACATCTGTAAGGAAGTTTTTCATCAATCATGGATGTAAAATATTTTGATATTGATCTAATTTGGTGAATATCATCAGTGCTAATGTTGAAATATTCTTTTTTTCTTTCCTTTAAAAGAACAACAAGAAATAATGATGCTCCTGTTTGTGTTTTTATGGGTTCTGGTGTATATGCCATTTACCTAATATCCAGGATGGCCAAAACAAGAGTAGGTGTAAGGATTTGTTACAAGAGGATTATTACTCAGCTCTCTATTTCTGTTCTAAATTTACCCAGACCCCCAATAAAAAGATTGTTTTAGATGCATATTGGCATAGGGAAGAAATGGAAAGCTGGAATTTTCAGGAATTAGTGACATAAAATAGAGTGACTCTCTCTGGGACCATGCAGCTCTGACTTGAGTCTTTCCATTTCCTAGGGTTCTTGGCTTGTTTCCAGTTCATCTCAGGACGTAACCAACTCTGTTCCTAATTTTTTTTTTTTCACTGCTGACTTTTTAATCACTTTCCAGAATTACCCTGCTCACTCCAATATCTACTTCTCTAATGTTTTTCTCTTGTTGCACTGTGTGTTTTGAAATACCATGTTGTTTCCCACCCCCAGTTATGGCATCGTCTCATCCAGGTGACTGCTTTGTCAGCCTTGGCTGGTTTTACTGTCTTGGCCTCTGTCCTCCAAAGTCCTGGTCTCACTGTTCTTTCTTTCCTCAGACTTGATCCAAGTGGTACGACCTCTCCTCTGTCCATCTTTGCAGTCCTTCTGAAAAGTCTCCTTTTTTAGTGTTCCTTGTAATTTTTCAGAATAGGTGTTTCATGTGAAAGGTTGAGGTGTTTCACATCTGTTCTCCTTTTCCAGTGTACTTCCTCCCTCGGGTACCTTGCATCAGCTCTGCTGATCTCTTTTGCTGCTAGTGTTTCTTCCTATACTTTGTTGTTTTCCATCTGGAACGCAGCATTGTCATCTTATCTTTCTTAAAGAAAAACCCCAGCACTCAAACAGCCTAAAAACAACAAACGCCTCTTTCCCTAATCTCTTAGTTTGACTGTTTACTGTTCTCTCTGTGTTGTAACCATTTCAGCTTGAATTTGTATCTCTTTCCTTCCACTGATACTACTATAACCACAGTTTCAGGTGTGTAACTACCCTCTTCCTCCCTTTCTCATTATTTCTTGAAGTGTTTCCTTTAATTGCTGGTGTCTTACATTTATTCTCTAACTCTTAAGTTTCCCATGAGAACTTTCTGGTACCCTTCCTTTCTTCCTCACTGCACTATCTATAGGTCATTTAATTTTGACACAAAAAGGAATTGCTATGATTATGTTTTACTGATCTACCTTTTTAGCTTCACACCTGATTGCTTCCATCTAAATTTAAAGTTTTGGCCAGACTTTTTGATTCTTCTCATGGGCAACACTGTCCAAAGTGAAGTTCAAAATGGCTAAAGCAGAACTTTTAATCTCACTACTCTGCTTCGTTCTCCCTATTATCTTGTTTCTTGACTACTGTGGATAAAGAGGCAATCCAGCTTGTAGCCTAAGTTCGTGAAGAGATTTGTGTCTTTACTTGGACCTCTGTGGATGTTAATTCTAACTAAATCAAGCAGATTGTGACTAAATAGAAAATTTTAAATCCACCCTCTCTGTGGGCAGGATGGCTGAAACAGTTTGAAGTTGGCATGTCTTAATTACTGCAACATCTTTCTTTTTTCTTGAAAAAACTTTTGAGTTTGCCAAGCTGTATCTTATTGCTACTTTCATACTACAGAAATATGACTCTCATTCCTGATTGTCCATTGCTGCCTGTAGATGCTTGAATAAGCCCACACATGCTCTCTCTACTGATACTCTGCATGCCTGGGATGAGTTGCCCCTAAACACCTAGTTGACAGCATCTTTGCTTTCTTTCAGATTTCCCATTTGGCTGCTGAATTATTTTTTGAAGCTTTTTGTTTGGGTTTTTTTTTTTGGCTTGGGTGATGACTTCAAAAGCTGTTTACATGGTTATTTTCTGCAACGCAGATGTACATGTTTGACCTCTTATTTCTTCATCTCTACATCACTTGATACGCAGATTGTAAGCTTTTTGAGGGCAGGGTAGTCCTTAATTTCCAATGGTACATTCCCATTGGTACAATGGGCCTAGACTGGGGATTCCATGTGCTGTGCTAATCAAAATAACTAATTACTGCTGCTTTTTTTTTTTTTTTAATACAGTTCATAGAGGGGCCATTTGAAGAGTATTTAAAAAATTTGGAAAATCCACAGGTATGATAAACTTGATTTATAGCAGAAAACGGTACTTTTGTTGGTGTTGACAGGTAATTGGAATTTTTTTCCCTTCAAAAGTATTTTTGATTGAGCTTTAGAAGTCTTCGAATTGCATGGATGTATACTTTTATGTGGCACTCTCTACTGTAAAATGATTTGTAGAATTCTTTTTTCATGTCATGTTTCACATCTCTCACTCAAAATCATATCCAAATGTTTTTAGGCTGTGCAAATGCCAAGAAGCAGCATGGCTAGCTTTTTCTTCAAGATCCCTGGAATAAAGGTCCAAAAGATTACGTGATACAAAGACAGTCATGTAAGGGGGATTATGAACAGTGGCTTTTAAGGAGATATTGATTTGAAGATAAATTATTATAATAATTATTCTTATTTATATTTTCCCCCAATTTGATTTCAGTATTTTTGTTAGGGAGTTGATAATTTGAGTAAGGCCTGAGAATTTAGCCACAAAGTTCATTTTTCCAGTTCATCTATAGCTAAAGGCCAACAAAACCTGACAGTTTTTTGGAGGTAGAGAATAACATTTTTTTTAAAAACACTTGACAAATAATTTTTGAAAAGCTACACTGCCAGTTGTTTAACAAAAGAAAAAAACCCCAATACTGTTACCACCTTTCAAAATTGCACCATTTAATGGTAAATCTGCATTTGTGTGATTGTTTTTAGTTCTCTCAGTTTTCTTACACTTCCATTGCTAGTTTGGGGAAAAGTCCCGCTAACTTGTACCCCTGAACTACCTTACTGGAATAGTTATTGTTATTGCAAAAAACCACTTACAGTCAAAGTATCTTCGCTGAACTCTGATTACTTGCGTCTCTTGATCTACGCATGAGGAGGTATAATAATTGTGTGCTCGTTTGAACTTTGTTTTCTTTTGTTTTCAATACAGGAATGGGTTGGACAAGTAGAAATAAGTGCCCTTTCTCTTATGTACAAGTAAGTAGATATGTTTTACTGAGATCAGTTGTTTTGTTAGTGAACCATTTGGAATAGCACAGATAGAATTGTGTTATACCATGCTTCTCCAGGAAATAACAAATATGCTTTGAAAATTGAAGCTGTCAAGGGATTAAAAAAAAATAGAAAAGTGAGCTTTGAAAATGAGATTTCGTCAGGGATGTGAGTACAGGTTTGTAGCAATGTCATGCATTTTGACCTCACAACCAGTTGTGGGTAGAGTCATGCAGTTTGTATTTTGTTAATTAAGTAAGAATTGGTCAAGGACCATAGTTTGAGCTGTGGTTAAGAAAGGTTTTGGTACTTTCGCATAGACAAACACTCCTCTTGGTGATAAAGAGTTTTGTTTTGTTTTTATTGAATGTAATTTTATATCATCAGTCTCTTTTCACAAAGTAGTGAGAAACAATATACTGAATATTTATAACTGATCTCTAATTACTGTGCAAGGGACTGAGTGATGTACAGCATCTTCACCTTCTGCGGTTTGTGGATCTGTTAAAAATTCAGTATTTCAAAATGTTTACTGTAAATTAATGGCTTTGTCTTTTGATGAGACAACTGATAAGAGGAAAGAATCAAATTAGTTAAGTATTATTTTTGGGTACTTTCAGTGTCAAGTGTGGGAAATGCATGCAATTCATTGCATTTTATGAGGTGAGCGGGACAGTTCAGAGCTGCATGTGCTGCTGGGATGTGGGAGGACTGGACTGAAAATTAGAGCAAAGTTTTGCTCCAGAGGCTTAGTGAGGAGATCTTTAGATTGAGCCATGGTGTAGAGAAGTGTAGCTCAATGTAAGTCAACAAAATTGCATGCTTCATTATATTGGAGTCCTGAGTTTCTGACCATGAGAAATATGGACTCATAAATAGAAGCAGTTTATTTTGAAGTCATGCCACGTTGGTATCCATGTCACAACTGATAAATGAATACAGAGGCAAAGCCTGATTGATAATAGTGGGAGTTTTTTTAATTTCCATTGGAAGCATCCAGGAGGGTTTTGTGGTGTAGATGCAACTATATGTAATATTTCACTGCAGAGGTGAACACACAAGAATAGTTACTGCCATGCTTGTTTTGGGAAGACAGGCTTCTAGTAAAAAGGCAATTTGGTGTCTCAGTGAAAGTAGCAATGGTGGTGGAGGTAGGGGGAAAGAGTTGTTTCCCTCCCTGCATACTGGCAGACTGAAGTGAAGTGGAAGGAAGAATTTCCTCTTCTGTTCCAGGTGGATAAATAAGAGAATTTCAGACTTCTCAGGCATAGGATAGAAATTCAGTATGAATAGGTTTGATTTCACTTTCACTCTTCAAACCTGTCACAAGTATGATTTGGTTACCTAGTAAATTTTTCTTTCCTCCCTGAGCTTTGAAATTCTTTTCCTCTCAGAATTGCTTTTTCTGAGTTGTTGTAAGAAGTCTCTTTTTTTAATCCAACAACTGTGAATATACTCAATCATTTTGCAAGACCCATAACACTTTTTGCCTGTGTGCGTAAGGAAGAAGTTGAAGGAAGTGATAGGTTGCTAAGCAAACAATTCAAAGGGAAGATTATGGAAAAAAGGGGGAGAGAGAAAATAATTAAGAACATGACAGATATTGATTATAGCAGAGAAAACACTAGGTGTTTTCTGTGGTTATTGAATTTGACTTGAATACTCAAATTTTTATTGATACTACTTTTAAAATGAATTCTTAACTGCTACTTTTTTTTTCCCCAGAAAAGATTTCATAATATACCAGGAACCAAATGCTTCTCCTTCACGTGTAACTGAAAATGGCTTTTCTGATAAGGTAAAAAAAAAACCAACACACAATTGTGAAAGGCTGAATTAAGACTACTTTATAAACAGCAAGTAGTTGCACATGAGATTTATTATTCAACACAATGAAATGTTCTGAGAATTCAGTTTCAACAATTTATTTTGTACAAGGCAGCTATTTAAGGGAGATATTGTGTTAATACGTGTAGCACTTCTTTTTAAATAGATGGTATATATTTGGGGCACATCTTCCTACTAATCTAAAATTCTGTAAAAATTAATTTTGAGGTGCTAATTCACGTGGCTATCTACCACTGTTTAAATTCTTTTTGACTTCTGTTTAAATTCTGTTTGGTTTAAAGGACATCCATGAAACATTTTTTTTGTTTTATTCATACACTGAGATCCCAAGAGATAACAAAGCACATGGGTACTCTAAATTGAATTTAAAAGGTAGTGCTTATGAAAAATCAAGTGAGATGCAAAACCTAAAATGTCTTTGTGGGTTTTTTAATAGGTATTGCTGTGCTTCTCAAATGGAAACCACTATGATATTGTTTATCCCATAGAGTATTCAGAAAAAGCTGCACTGTGCCAGTGTAAGTATTATATTGGTTAGTTAAAAGCATATTTTTACCAAAAATCTTAACTTACCACTTTTAGGTTTGGGGAAAAGGCTTTGTATGAAAGTTTATTATAGTCATTCTTTAGAAGCTTAGTTTTCAGTGTGAATTGTCAATGATGGTGTGATTCTGTGAGATCTTGAATTCTTGCTGTGTCCTGATTCTTGACAAGGCAGATTATATACCAAGAGGAGAAGATTTATGTGACTCTTTGAATCTGGGTGGTCTAATGTCAACAGAAAATATTGGTGTGCTGATTAATAATGTGTTGAATTGTCTTTGGTTAGCATTCTGGTTGTAATTGTGATTTCACTCATGTTAGCAAACCAGTTGTTTGTGTTAAAATTAGCCTTGGACATGTAACTTGTCACAGGAATTATGGGGTTTTCATGTGCAAAAAATAACTGTGCAATATCGTTTGATTTACTAGATTGCAGAAGTGCTTGATGTTTTAATTGAAGGAATTTGAAATGCATCTGTAATGGTGCTTTAAAGTCTGATTTCCCTGGTAACTGATGTTTCTCTCCCACTCGTTCCTCCTCTTCCTCAGCTCTGCTGTATGAGTTGCTTTATGAGAAAGTATTTGATGTGGATATAAAGAAAAGCATGGCAGAACTTAGTGCTGTTGGAGGGACCGGGGAAAGTAATGGTAGCAGTGAAGTATCTGCTTCGGATTCAGAAGATGACACCTACAGGTAAATAGGATTTAAAAGTTAACATAAGATGCCTGTGAAGAATACATATTAAATGAGTTTTCTGAATTTTTGGTGAGTGTAGTGGAATCTAGTCATTTACAAATGACTAAGAAAAGAGGCACAAAGAGATAGAGTTCAAAGTGTGAAAGAATGCAACATGTAATCTTCTCTGTTCCAAAAGACAGGCTTCTGGCTCCTTTGCTTTTCCTGCACTCTAGCTTTGAGTCTTGTAATGGAATGTACCCATTGCAGCATGGCCCTCTTCCTGTTTAATGTAGCAGAATCCCCTGGGAGAACTGTCAGTGTGCCAGTCTGGCATGGTAAACTCCATGAAAATTACTTGACTTTCTCTTGCAACTGAGTAGAGTTTTAGGAATCTAATCCAGCTTGAGTTGCTTCCACATCTGGAGGCTGAAATACCTGCTTGAGAGGAAGCTAATGGAGAAATACAGACGTAGCTTGCTCCATTCTCTCCTTGATCTTTATGATAAAGTGATTATATTTGTGGGTTTGTAATTCTTTTTTGCTAGACCTGGGTGCTCTTTGGGATTTTGACCTGGTTCCTCTTGCACAGTCTTTCACAGTACCATTTTTGCACTCACATGTTGGCAGTTTTTCTTCTGTTTAATGTGATTTTTAGCCCTGGATTGTATGAAATTCCACTGAAGCTGTGGAGATTAGGCTGTATTAGTGGATCATGTCCCCTCTTCCTGCTGAATGTCATTACAGTCCTTTCTGGGGGCTCTGCTGTGTTGGTATGGGGCAGAAGAAATTCTTTGAACTGTCAGGAGGTGGTTTCTTCCTCAGGTTGAAAACAACAGAAAGGAAGGTGATGGAAATCATCACAGAAAGAAAACCAAGTTGTGGGAAAGGGATTATCTTCTTTTCATGTTTGGAAAAAAAAATACTAGGGAACATTGCCAATTAAAATACAAAGTGTTTCTGCCTCCGGGAACGATTATTGTCGTTAAATGTCAGAGAGTGGAAACCTTTATTCCTTTCTGTTCTTGAAGCTTTCCTAGGCTCCAAATGCAGTAGCCTTGCCCTGTATCTTTGGGATTCCTAAGAAAATACACTGCTAATCTCCCTAATACCTTTGGAAATAGGGTCATATACTCACTTGAGACTGTGGAACTCAGTGTTCTTGATTTAAACCATATGCTTTATGATGCAAGAGTATGTGTGTGTGTGTGTGTGTGTGATTCCTGACCCAGTTAACACAGATTACAAACACTTCACTATGTTTATGAAGTCCTAAATTTTTTACTTGTCCAAAATTTGACTTCAGCTTCTTTCATTAACTAGTTTTCCAGAAGATTATTTTTTATTTTATTAATATAAACTTTCCAGTTATGTTGTTATTAAATGTAATAGTTTTGGGAGAAGTTAGTGCTAAGAGTTGTTGCAGGGAAAAATACCTGGACTTTCTCTCTGGGGAAAGTATTTTTTCAGTGGTGTCAAGTGTAGAAAATAAGAGTAAATTGGAGTGCCTGATGCAAATTAACTAGCAGAATGGTTTTTGGTTTGAGTTTTTTTTTTTATGTCTACTTTTCCTATGTTTTCCTTGTGTAGTTGCAAAAATTTTAAGAGGATTTTTCTGTCTCTCTTGCCTTCCTTCCCCCTCCTTTTTTTTTTTTTTAAAGTGATGATGAAGTCACTGCATATAAGATAGACTTCCTAAAATTTGGTCTTAAAACCAAAAAATATATTTCTATATCATATAAAGTTTAAAAATGTAGTTCTTATTGTAGGCAGCTTTTTCACTTTTAGAGATGATGTTCTGTGGTATGCTTATTGAGCGGAAAGCATGTAGAGGATGGTAGTTTTAGTATTTTTATCCACTTCCTTAGATGTGTCTTACTTGATTTTCAGGCCTTATTAGTACTAGAATTCGTTATAACAACATAACTTGCTTCTGTCCTATTGCAGAAGTAAAGCTACAACAGTTACTGATATGAATGGAATGAAATCTCTTTCTGGCACCAAGGTATTTATATGTTGAGATTTATTTTGTTTCTAATAAACTGTACTCTGCTGTATTTCTTAGTATTTAATGTAGTTCATGAGAGAATCTTGTGTTCCTAGTTTTCCTGACATGTAATACCTTAAAAGCTACCTATTTCTTTGAAATATAATGTTTACTTTTCATGTGCTCAAAGGTGGATAGTGTCGTTTTTAAAGCTGCTTAGTTCTTAGTTTTATTCTGGTACGGTTTAAAAACCACCGTTTAATTTTTTCCAAAGCTCTTTAAACTGAAATATAAAGAAGCTGAGAATATATAAAGCATAAAGCTTGAGCACTGTATTGGAAAATGAAAAACTGGACATCTTAATGCAGGTGACCATTTAGCACTTTGTTCTGTTTCATCCAGCACCTTGAGAGCAATGGGAATCCTGCCTTGTTGGCCATACCTAAAAAGGTTCTTAAATCACTCGATCCATTGGTTTATAGAAACATTGAATATGATGTTTGGCTCCAATCCAAATTGGGTAAGTAACTGAATACTTAAAATTTGCAACTTTTGCAAGCTGATATGTAAAATGAAGCCCTTTTGAAGAGCAGTGATGCATATGGCAGTTGCAGTTTAGGCAGTGGTCTTCCTCACATGGGTCAGTGGGCAGATTTAGGTCCTGAACAAGTGGTTTGCATTTTTACTGCATCAAGAAAATAAGTCTTTTGGTGTATTTAAACTAACAGTATATTGCTACTTATGTCTTTGCAGATCAGCAGAAACAGGATTTCTCTATTGCTGCTGGCATGCAATACTCTGTGGGAGATAAATGTAAAGTAAGTAATACTGAATTATAGTTTACAGGCACATTGCCATTTTGCTCAAGATGCCCGCTTTCCCTCTTTGTTAAATATTTTGATACATAAATTTCTGCTTTCTGGGTATTCTTTGCTTACGTCTTCAAGCAAGGATGTACTTGTCGTTTAATGTGGTGTTCATGACTTCCAGCACACATACAGAAAAGGCATTAAGCAGAACAATGGATCAATGCCATTTTATTCCATTAAAAAGTCACAAGGGGAACTTGAAGAGTGTGTTTATTAAGATATCTGTGGACCTCAACGTTAAACATGGAATCGTAGTTCCATGTGTTAATGTTTGACACTGGAGATAATGATTATTGTTTGTAAATTGGCTTTGATAAAATCTCAATACTTTCAAGTAATGGAGTACAGCACACTTTAGTTACTGCAGATCCTGAACTTTTGGGTGAGTCTTCCTCTTAAAGTGTTCAAAGTGTGTTACACAATTGTTCTTTAAATTCTGGTAAAGTTCGTAGTGTGTGTTGCTACTTAAGAAGAGGGTAAGGTTTTCCACTGAATTCTGTAGTACTCACATTTTAGATTAATCTCCTGAGGTGGGTTAATTAAACTGGAGGTACTTGGCTAAACCATGGTTCTTTCTAGGATATTTTACCATCTATTTTAATTAGATTATTAATATTGATGAGAAAATGCTCAGTTTGGCTAATCATACTGCATGGGGGCTCTTTCAGTTTGTACTTTCTTATTTGTGTAATGGAATTAACCATAGTGACTAAATTGCAGGCAAAAGACATCTCCAAACTTAAAAAAACCCTCAACCACAATATAACCCACAAAACCACAAGTTCCCAAATTCCCCCTTCCCCACCCCCACCGAAGAAACAAAACAGTCTAATGCTGAGTTGATTATTTATTGCTTAATAGTACAGGCTTAAAATTTGGATTTAAGTCCCTAAGGCTGTTGTCTTGTGTAGTATTTACTGAAGGGTAGAGATAGAAAAAACCTCTGGTAATTAACATACTCTATTAAGTCTTAAATCTGTGGCAAGACAGCAAATGTGTGGGATAAAAACATGGGGAAAAAAGATGAAGTAAATAGTGAAAAGTAGAGTTGACCAAATTAATAGAACTGGAAAACCAAATACTGTAGCAGAATATTAAGAAATTTATTTTACATTTAACAAAAGATTTTTTAGAACATAATGACAGTCAAGTAACACTATGATCATATCTAATAAACCTTTTTTGGTTGTTTTTAAAAAAACCTTCTGAAGAATATCTTCAGAAGTAATTGGTGTTCATTATGTCCTTAATTAAAGTTTCACTGAAGTGAAGTAGATTTTAACAGGGGAAAGCTTTGAGTTTTATTCTAAGAGAAAGTGTTTTCAGTAAAACTGAAAAACCTTGATGCACTCATTACTTTTAACTTTCTCATGTGGTTTTGGAAAGCATATTTCATTAAGTAGTGTTCCCCAGGAAGCTTTCTGTTTGTTTGTGAGTTTTCTTATTCGTGTGTGTTCATTTTAATAGTAGTTTTATTTCTTTTTGAAGGAGTGATAGGAATTGAAGATTTGCTTTTGATACATTTACTGAATTCTGTTGTGTATTTCTCAGGTCTTCTGTTGGCAGGAGGAAAAGTTCTGTTTCTAACATTGTTGATATTTTAAAGAGTTACCTCCTGTCATTGTCACCTTTAGAGCTAAAACACCTTTTTTTTTTGCTCCTTGTCCTTTTAGGTGCGCTTAGAGCATAATGGGAAATTTTATAATGCCCACATTCAAGAAGTTCATTCAGAGAGTGGGCCAGTTGTTGTATTTGTAGAAGAGCTTGGAGCAAAGTAAGTGCTTAATCTCTTTTGAGAAAGACCACCAAACTAAACAAAGCATTACTTCAGTTCAGAGTTAATTTCAGCCTCTGAAGTGTACCTGCTTCTTTACTTAAAGCAGCACTAACACAAAATGGTTAAGAAAATAGCATACTAAATGAAGAAAGGGAAAAATTGGTTATCACTTTAAACTTTCTGTAGCACTAACTAGCCTGGGTATTACTTGCAGAGTAGAACAGAAACTATGTTAGTAGTATTTTAATTTTAGGTTTTTTGCACAAGATTCCATCCTAAGCAGGCTGACACTAGACCAGTAAGATGTTGCTTGTTGTACTTAAGCTTGTCACAAATCTGACATCTGATTATTTTCATATAAGAAGGACCATCCAAGCACTGAGTTTCTCTGTTGGTTCAGTAGCTCTGCCTGATTTCACACAGAGTGCCAAGTTGCTGTTTAGATCAGTGTCATCTTTGCCTTGCCTTGGGACAAATTAGGTGTTTAAAGTTGCTGTTGGGGATTGTGGGTTTGATGGGTTTGGTTGTGGGGCATTTTGGTTTTTTGGGGTATTTTTTGGGTTGGGTGGAGGGCAGTTTGAGATATGAAGAGATCTGAGATCTGCTGCAAGTTCTATGACTTCTAGGGCATAAAAAACCCCAAAACAATGGAGTGTAGTTTGGGAAGAGGAACCATTTCCACTTGAGGTAGATGAGGGAAGGAGAAAGATGCCAATTAATCTCATCCGAACTTCTTCATAAATAAAAAGAAAACAAATGTAGTGAGATCTGAAGATTGTCTTACAGTTTGAACCCTTTTGAACCCCCTAATTGAAATTTAACCTGATTTAAATATATAATGTAAATAAATATACATTTTTATAATATATAAATAATGTAAAGAGTTGCTTGGCCATCCTACAGTATCCTCAGTTGAAAATGCAGTATTTGCTCTGGGATATACACTATTCATACAATGTTTTTCAATCTTGGCATCTATTGCAGTGTTTATAATAAATTTATCTGGTATATTGCTTTTTCTGATCATTCTTCTTTTCTGGCTGCCCTGAAGACATTATAATACGGACATTAGGAGTGGCTGATAATTCTTTACTGGATAAGTTTGTGCAAACTTATCAGTTTTATGTAAAAAAAAGGAAAAAAGTTTGCTTGTCTGTATATTGCTTGAGTGTAATCATAAAGGCAAAGGACTTTGAATCTGATGTTCTCAAAAAATGGAAAGATCTGTCAGTCTTAGAAAACATGTGGTATTACTTATGCAAGCCCAGTTCTTGTCTTTAACATATTTTTCCCTCCATAATTCCTTGTTTTGTAGGCATGCTGTCTCACTGAAGAGCCTTAAACCTCTTCCACAGACCTCTCCTATGGAGGGCTGGAACACTGTGCCAGGGAAGAAGATAAAGAAGTTTTTCCCAACATGGGGGCAGAACGCTCAGCCTGGTAGGACTGTACCTGTCGTTGTGTGGCAGGATCTTCTTTCTCTGATGTTTTGTCCCAAAGAGCTTAAAAAAAATGATTGAAAAAAGTCTTGCCTGTTTTGATGTCATTATCCCAGATGCAGAGTGCAGAGGGCCAAAGAATCAGAGCAAGTCAATAAAACCCCAGTCAGCACTACCTCCTCGACTTCAGCATACTGTCGGAACCAGGCAGCATCAGTTCTTGTGTTCTGGACCCCAACCTCATCAGACCTCAACTGAGCCAAAAGCTCCAGGCAGGAATCCTTCCCAGTCTATAAGGTAAAAACTGCAGATAAAATCTTCCTTAGCTTGAACTCTCACTGAGCTCCTAGAAGCCAAGGTGTCTACTTCAGGTGGTTCCAGCATGCTCCTTTGAAATATGTTGCCATTGAATTCTTAAGAACTATCCCAAGTCCTTAAGAATACACACAAGCATACAAAAAGTAACTTTTTTTTTCCTTGCATGGCAGCATCCCCCCTGGAAGCACTGTCTACAGAACTGCATTTTTTTTTCTTGGAAAGTGGATATTTTTGTTTTTTCTTTTTGGTTGGGGCTGAAATAATGTTGCATGTGGTGCTTCACGGGCACAGCAAAGGTCTTCCTTCAGCTGGTACTGAACCTGTCATAGGGGACTGCTTCATGTTATGACTGATCACTTGAAGGAGTATGAGAACAGCATTTTGCCTGCATTTGTTGAGACTGATTTTTCAATTTACTGGGCTGCTGTAGCAGAGTTTCTGATTGCCATTTTTCTACCCAAAAGGTTCTTCTATACTTGTCTACAAACGGAAATACTTCATGGTCTATTCTGTCATTCTTCTGTATTAACTCCTTGTGGAAAAAATGGAGCCGGGGTCTTTGGAGTCTGCCACATGCAGCATTTTAAGGGCATTTTTCTTTCACCTGTAACCTAAATATATGAGTATCCTAAAAGGTTTAATAAAGTAATTCAGAAAGCTGAAACAGTGGTGTTAATTTTGTGTAGTAATGCTTCAGAAACTGAAAATTCATAATGCATTTTACTTTTTGTTGTATTTACAGCAGCCTCTTTCCCCAGCTTTTTCTTGCATATTCATAGGTAGCAGATGGCACAGAAATGGGTTAGATGGCTTGATGTAGGCATTTGGTTTTTAACTATGATCTAATAATTACCATTTGTTATAAAGCCTTTCGAAATTGTATTAAACTGAATTGTGGACAAAATAATTTCTTTCCCTTCCTTAAATTTTATGCATATGGACAGAAAGGGATCTGCTGTATGTGGAATCACATAAGAAGTGCTTAGATAATTACCTTCTTTCTTCCTTTTAAACCCTGAGCTTGTATTGTGTTTGATACTGGGGAATTTTTTTTCCAAGTGATGCCGCTTCATTTTTTTTCCTGTACAGGAAGGCAGAGCGGGAGAGAGGTGAGGATGTGAACCATGGCAGCAGAGATTGTAACTACTTTGGCCTGTCTCCAGAGGAGCGCAGGGAGAAGCAGGCTATAGAGGAATCTCGTTCCCTTTTTGAGATCCAGCAGCGGGATGAACAAGCTTTTCCTGCTCTTTGCAATGTATGCTTCTTTTCATTGTAATTAACAGTGCGTTTTCCGTACCTGTCCATGAACCTTTTAATTAGCAATTGGTTTGCTGTGCTTGAATTACCATGCAATTCCAAAATTAAGGTTATTTTCTTTGCACTCGCTTTCTGCTTAGGAATATAGGTATCTACAATGCTTTGTGTATTAAAGATAAGAAATATATGTAGTAGTTTACCCTGGGAATAATTAACATCCCACACACACAGTTCTTTTTTAAGCATGTAAATGTGGGAGACATGTGAGCTGCTGCAGCTGTAAGTTTCTTTCTTGGTGCTTCTGTGTTTGGGAGGCTTTGCACTCCCTTGTAGTTACTTGGATGTTGTCTTTTTCTTGTATGGTGGGTTCAAAGTTCAAGGTGAGGACAGAACTTGCTCTGAAGTTTAATTTAGCTGAGAAATAGCTGAGTAAGATGGCACCAAGCACCACAGTATCAGTGACTAGGGGATTGTTTCCTATTTGTTTTGCATAAAACCTGGTTTAATTTATAAGTGACTTTTTTTTTTTTTCTAGCCTGTGACCTTAATGGTGCGAGAACTTACCCAGTGTCTTGAGTAATGCAAATGCTTTGTCAGACCTGCTCTTTTTCTGTCCTGAGCAGGACTTGTCTGAGTCTGAGGGAAGGATGTAGCCTATAGATTTTTGAGAGATAATTGTATTGATACAACTTTTAATGAAAGCAGATTGGAGTCTCAGTACATCCAGGGAAGTGGGCTGGTCCTGTGGGTGAAGAGCTGCTCTCCACACAGATGTGCTCTAAAAGATATGTGGGGCTTTTTGGATTTAAATCCTAGGACAAAAATAAGTCTGGGAAGAATGAGTAGGTGAAAGACTGAAACTAAGGGACAGAGGTTGCTCTACTCCCTCTGAGCTGTAACAGTTTGCTGTATTTGCTCACGTGCAGGAGGAGGAAGTGATTTTTAAGTGAATTATTGTCTGAGTGAAACAGTTTTTTGTCATATAAGGTAATGACATGAATGCTTTTAAAGGACACTTTGCAGAATTTAGCAGTGAATAAAAGAGTGGATGAATCTGAATGATACTGATCAAGACTCCTCCCCCCTCCCCTCTCTGCCTGTCACAGACATAAATATTATGTCTCATGAAGACATAATAGTATCAGATGGTGGCAAAGTGTCATTGGACTGATTTACATAAATCCATATTTCTGCTTTTGTAAACCTCTTTAGAATCAGTCTGTCTGTCAGGCTGCTACACAGACTATGGATAATTTAAACCAGAAAAAGTTCTCAAATAATGAAAGAAGAAACAGCAAGTGGACAGCAGAGGTGGAAGAGCAGAAGGAAAAAGGTAAAAACAAATGGTTTTAGATTAAGGCACTTTTTTTTTTTTTTTGCTTGGTTTTGTTACCAGCATCAGAGCTTATTCAAGATAAGCTTTAGGCAATGAGGGGAAAATTATCTAAATAACAGTGCCAAACTAAGCTAGGTTCAAGGTAGCAAAGGTGTGCTTTGTGAAGAAAGGACGTGTTTTCCTGCTTTGTGAATGTGGCTGAGAGAGCGGGCCCCTTACTGGGATTTTTGCAGTAAATAGGAAGAGGAATAAGAGAAACTAAAAGACTTATCAGAGCTACCATTGGGAGGACCATTAGGAGTGCTTACTGGAATCATTTAAGAGAAAAGCAGGTAAAAGTATCCAATGTGGTATGGTTAAGAATTAGCATCCAGTGGCACAGCAAGGGAGAAGCTGGTGTACAGGAGAGTTGGAAAAAAAACCCTGTTTACAGGAGAGAGATCTGTGACATGCTCAAAATTTTGTTTGGGTTTTTTCCCCTCCCGCAATCAGTTAAAACACTTTTTAGCTTTTCTCTTCATGGACTCAAAGCTTTTCTTCTTCTGTGAGGAAGTAGAACGTGGCAGTAAGATAAAAGCTGTAGCTGTCAGGAGGCAGTTAGTAAATCTTTGCTGTTTGTAGCTGATAGAGTTTGGGGGCATTTTTAAATTTTATTTAGGTTTTAATTTTTTGTTCTGCCAGCTTTGCCATGAATAAAAACCAAATTTGATCTTGACTTCTTCCACTTTTTTTTTCCCTCTGACTAAATAAAATTCAGACTCCTTAGCCTGCTCATAGAAATTGCTCCTTCCCTCCATTTTTTAAAATTTTGTTGTTTCCTTATCTCTGGCAATAGCATGTGCTCCTTAGTCTCTCTTACAACATGTCATGCTTTATTGAATGGTCTCACAAGGACCAGTCTTGCTTATTTTTTATTCTCCAAGTGTCTGAAAACTTGTTTCCTTTGAAAAGTTGTTTCATCAGCAATACCAAAAAGAACGTTCACGGTAGAGAAAGCTCTTTACTACACTGTCATGATGGATTTGGCTGAAGTGCATGGCATGTCCAGCTTTCTCTGTTTTTGTGACACTCAGGATTGATTGCCCCTTGTGAAACTTGGTTAACAATCATACGGGAACAAACTGTACTTCCTTCTGAGTATTTAGAGATTCCTGTTGGTGCTTGAGGAACTGGCAGTAATTCTCATAATCATTAATGTTTCAGTTTACAGTGTTGTCTAGTTGTGATGGTGCAAGTACTAAGCTTTTAAAAAATATGTATCTATTTAGTGGTTACTATAAAACTTAGGGGCATGAGTTTGATTGACAAGCAGTGGTAACGAGATTTAAACATAAACCAGAATGTGAAGAACTTGTACAAATCTTATGTGAAGATTATGTTGCAATTATTTTTTAACACCGTTTCCCCCCCCAAGGCGTTTGCTGGTGCTTGAGAAATTAAACTTTCTGCAGCAGTCTGAAAACTTTTTAGATCTTTTGAACCACTGGAACCTTCTAAACTGCTCTTTTACTCAGTCAAAAGTAGACAAGAGTTTGAGCTTCTGTTATCTTAATAGTTGAATATGAAAATGCAGATCAGAACACTTTCACTTTAAGCAAAGTACAAACTTCAGTTTCATTAGGAGCAATTTAGGATGAATATGTTTAAAGGGACAGCTATGTTTCATTCCTGCTTCCCTCAAGCATCACTGAAATGGTTAACAAATATCAGTAAAGAACTGTAAAGAGCTTGGAAAACCCAGGTTGAAATAGCTGCTCTGTCACTGTCCTAACAACTGTTTGTTTTAGGATGCTTTGATCTTTGATAAAAATAGAATTTAAAGTTTTCTGAAGTAATATGTGCTCAGGTGCAGGTTTGGTTTTGAAAGTTTAATTTTGGAAAGACAAACTTTAACTGGCTTAAGTTGTGATAGCCGTAAGTGGTGTAATGGTTCATTTACTAGGTTATGTCTTGGTGTTGCAGAGTCAAATTCCAGGCAGATCCACTTAAGTCAGAAGCTTGAGCCAAATTCATCTGAGGTAATCTTAAAGAAAAGACCAAATTTTTTTTTAATGTTATTGCTTCTCTGATACATGATTAGCAGAGCAATAGCTGCCTTTAGAGCTGTGATTGCTGCTGCTCCTTTACAGCTTTTAAAGAAATACTCCTAAGTTTGGAGGCTTGTATTTCTGTCAGCTTTCCTCAGCCCCTTTAACCCTTAATTATCGTCTTTCTCTGCAATCTGAGTTCTCAAATTTGGGCTATCGAGAGAACTTAAGAATCTGGATTTGTAATTGCTTAGTACAGTCTGTACTTTCAGTATAATGGGACCATAGAAGATTTGATGTTTGCTAATAGCTACTGTGCTAACAGACCATGAGCTCTGAAGTTCAGTGAAGATTTGTGGCCCCTTGTTGGCTTTTAACCTTTCAATGAGCAAAATGTTACACTAGTATAATAGTGATCTGGTGCTTAGCCCACTTTGTATGGAGTGTGGTTTACTGTTTTTGCATAACTCTTTGTAAAGTTAATCTTACTATTAGACTAGCTGTGTCTGTTGTTTTTAACTTTGCTTTAGAAGAATAGTCAAGATGAGAGCTATCCAAAAGCTTCGTCTCCTTTGGAACAAGTTAAAACAGATTCTTCGATGCTTGCCGAGCAAGTAAGAAATGTTTGTTTGATTTCAAAGTTTTCCAGTCAGGAGACTTCAGACAAAGGGGAGCTTCATCACAGCCACGTATGTACTGCAGTACTGGCTTTTAATTACCTAGTCATTTCTATGGTGATAATGCTAAAATTTCGTATTTACAGTTAGGAATCTCTTATGTCCAACATAAAGAATGTAGAAGGACAACCCTTGCTAGAAAAGTAAAAGTATAACTATTCTCTTCTGAGAGAGGGGTTATTTCATATCTTTCTACCAAGTAAACTGTGCTTTTTGCTTTAAATTCTTTGCTTTTGCCTTTTCAGGTTTTTCCAAGGTAATGGTTTGTGAGGGTGGCTTTTCTTTTGGTTGGGAGATATTTTAATGTGATGCTTGTGGGGGTGGTTATAGCACAGATGGCTGTCTGTGGTACAGGCATGTTCTGAGCTCAAGATCTCAGGTCTCTTTTGATATATTACAAGGTAATACTTTACTGTGGTGATAGTAATAGTCTGGATAATACTGAGTCATCAATTTTGGTAGAAGTCGGACACACTGGGGATCACCAACAATGATGTGATTTTAGAATAATTTAATGTGATTTCTTTGTTTTTATAGAACCTGGCGGAATGCTTACCGAGCGTAACTCCAACACCCTCCCCAGTCTTCTCTGAGGTGCATTTACCTCCAGCAGTGCCTTCTGTACCAACCATCGTGCCAGCTTGGCCAAGTGAGCCAACAACCTATGGACCAGCAGGTTTGAAGAAATAACATAAATCAGAAACTGCTAACCCTGAAATATACTGTAACTGTCTTACTAAATTGAAGATATCTCCAGGAGACACTGTCTCATATAAATTCACATTCCAAAGGCAGTCAGTCATAGGAATATAGCTTCTCAATGCTGAAAGCTACTGAGAGTTCTATTAAGTCTTTGACAGCCTTCATGTACAGTTTGCTTCACTCCCAGCCTGAAGGTGGAAGAGGGATGTGTAGTCAATTCTCTAATTTTCCTCTTAAGTGGGATCTGCTGAAGGTAGAGCACATTGTCAGCATGTTGAAACTTGATACATGCTTTTGTGCTCTGTGTCCTATGTAATAAGACTAAGGACTCAGCTTGGGACTTGTATGTCTGGAACTAATGAGATCCAGTTGGACCTGAGCTACAAAGCCAGTATAATGTTTTTTTTTTTGTGTGCTGTGTGTATCTTTTGGTATGTGGAATTAGCTTAGATTCAGTATTGCCCATTAGATCAGGTGCTGTATTTTCTCTCACACTGCTGTGTTTCTGTACAAGGACTACCTTTCAGATCAGCATACTTTGTTCACGTGATACAGTAATAATCCTGTCATACATGACTGTGTCTGTGACACAAGATGCACAGCCCAGTTAAGCTGAGCTCAGATTCAGAGCTGACTGTCAATGACTAGGCAGAATGAGAACTTCAGGAATTCACATAAAAGTTGCAGTTCTGCCTTTTTCCCCTTCCTATTCCCTTCTGGCATTTGTAATTGTAAAAATAAATATGGAAACAGTTTAGCTTTTTCTGGAAAGCTTGGCTTAGCTATTTCATTCTTTCTGAGAACTATCCTCTGCATTTTGAAGCTTGCTTTTGTGCTATCATTTTGGCTTGTGATTATGTATGTATTGATGTATGTATATATTTTTTATATATAAGTGTACCTGTATGTATGTATGTCGGTTTTTCCCCCTCTAGGTATTCCATCCCAAATACCTGCTTCTTCATTGATGCCAGGACCAGCAGCGGGACCTGAATCTGTTGTATCACAGGCTCAGGTAACATCTGCTTCAGTTGCTGGAGTTCCTGTGTGGCTACAAGCAGTTAACCAGCCTTTAATGCCTTTGCCTCAGACTCTGAATCCTTACCAGGATCCGCTATATCCCGGATTCCCTTTAAGTGAAAAGGGAGAAAGAGCCGTTGCACCCTCTTACTCCCTGTGCAATACCGGGGAAGACTTACCTAAAGGTGAGAAGGTCTGGGGTTTATACCATTTTTCCTAATAGTTTTTCTTTTCTTAAAATGTTGATAGAGTCAGCTTTTTTTTCTTTGGTCCTGTTGTCAGTCCGTGTCAGAAGATCTAATAGTAGTGATTCTGTGGTTTGAGATGTGGGAGGGGATACTGAACAGAGCTGTAGATCTTTAGTTCGCACTGCTGGCATCCTGCCTGTTTGAAGTGGTCACACCTGGGAATCTGAGACGGTCTTTGTGGTTCTCAGCTTGACCCACTGTAACTTGAGGTTTTCTGAGTGTAAAGAATTATCTTTGGAGAACTGCTTCCTGATGCAGTAACGTGTTTGCTCGTGTAATTTAAAAGCTTGGAAGCTGTTGAGCGTTTCCTTACTGGTGTGGGAAAACACAGGTTTTGACATACTACAAATGCCCGTAAAGAACATCTCATGTCTGACTGCACGGTGATTTGTTTACTGAAATGTTTCTTTATAAAATACAAGTTCAGGTGCACAGACTGTTAAAACTGAAATTTAAATTGCTGTTGTGTTCTAAATATCTTCACTGTGACAAAAAACCCCCAATGAATCAATGGCAGACATGCAAGCAGCAACTTAATACCAATGTTTGCTACTGAAATGGAACTGATTTTTGTATCAGATAAAATATTTCAGTTCTTAATAAATCTTTTTCTGTTTTTTTTTTTCCTTATCTAGATAAGAATATTCTTAGATTTTTCTTCAATCTTGGCGTGAAGGTAACTCTTCAAACTTCCTTACATGTTTGTGTTTGTTATACCATAAAAATTGTTTGTAATTGCTTGGTAGGACTTAGAGTGCAGAACTTTGGTTGCTGCAGGCTCTACGTTTCAAGTCCATCTTTAAATTTGAAATACTTTTATTTTCTCCGCTGTTAACTGGGATTCCAGCAGTGGTCCACAGTGCAGTTCAAGTCAATAGAAATCAATTTTATCTCAACAATAGTGAGAGCTATTGGCTTGCAACTGTGGCAGTACAGTCAGCAGATTGTGCTTTACAAAATCACAGATAAATTGAATGTAAAGATTCACTCTTTTGGATGCAGGGTATAGGGAATGAGAAAATGCCCTTAAACTTCAACCACAGCTGTGTACTGGCAAAGCCACTGCAGTACAGATCCCAAGATCTTTCCCTGGGGACACTTCCTTAAGTAACCTGCATATGTGTCCTTTCTGCTCAGGTTGATGACAACAGTATTTTACTTTTAACCCTTTCGGTAATTATAACAGCAGTTGATGTATAAATGTGATGCAAATCTGTGTGTGTGGTTGGGGAAGAGGCTCATCCAAAAAATCAGCATTTTCCATTACTCGGCAAGGACTAGTTGTTTAGTTTCTCCCTTTTGCACATCAAAATGTTCCTTTTTTGCCTTCTTACTGCTTCTGTTAGGCAAACGATTTTGAGCAAGGTGCTGAGAGCTCTTGGGCTTATTCCACATGAATAAGCCATCCATAGCAATGATTCCTTGGTGTCTGGGCATGGAAAGAGGAAAGGTTCAGCAGAGTTTACAATGTAAATTTGGTAACTGTGCCTAATACAAGTCTCTTTGCTTAGTGGGAAATCTGTAAGTCATTAATCAGCAAGTGTCACTGCAAGGTATTTAAACAGCATGTGTTTCATAAGCTGACATATGTTTGGGACTCTCCTTACTGGTACTTTGGATTATCTGGGATCTAGTCTGTCGTTGTGGTGCTCCAGCACCATCTGCTGGCCCCAGGACCACGATCTCGTGGCTGTGCTCCTCTGCTGGTGTCACAGGGTATAACAGACCCAGGAACTACTTTCTGCATTTCTCTGTCTGCTGCTGTGGTCCTGGTTCCTGCCTTGTTGTTACCCACACCCTTCCAGCTGCATATTCAGAAGGAATAGACTATTCCCATGGAGGGGAGGTCTGGGTAGGCTTTTTAGGATAGTTTGCTCTGGGCATTGTTTCTACAGATTCCGATTCAGTAACGTGGAAGTAGAGAAAAGGGAAGTGTTGTGAACATGGCTCATGTGTACTGCCAGCACAGGAGAGATTGCTGCTGAAAGGGCTTTGTGTCCACTGGTGACTCACACTACTAGCTGGAAAAGTGCACTGGATATTCTAATGAAACCTATACCCCAGCTTTATGGGAGGGCTTCTAAGAAAGCTGATCTGTGGGTTATGTGAATATATATGGATTTCAATCTGCAAATAGTCCACAGGGAAATAATCTAATTTTGAGTCTCAGTGTAGTCTTTTTTAAGTGAAAAGATGTGTATGCTATGGCTTCTGGTTGTTTTGATTATTATGCCTTAGAGTTTTCAAAGCAGGCTGGTAGAATGAATTGCCAATTTATAGGTGAGGTTCTGGAAAATGAATTTGAAATGTTTGTTTTCAAACACATAGCTAAAGCTTGACTTAATAGCACTGTGTGTTTAATTATATAAAAATTATTATTAAGTTTTCTTACTGGTCATAACTGTTGTCCATTTCAACTGCATTTGGAAGGAATTAAAAAATAAGAACACCATCCTAGAGTCCTAGGATTTAGAACTAAGGACACTGTAAATAAAACTATCTTTTATTTCCTATAATTGTTTCAAAATAGTAAATGACTGGTGTGCTTTTATGTCTGTCTGAAAATTTGAAAGACCAAATAATTGATTTAATTTTTTTTTCCCTGCTGTCTTGCAGGCATACAGTTGTCCCATGTGGGCACCCCATTCTTACTTGTACCCCCTACACCAGGCCTATTTAGCTGCTTGTAGAATGTACCCGAACGTGTCCCTCCCTGTGTATCCGCACAGCCCCTGGTTCCAGGAGGCTCCCCCAGCTCAGAACGAAGGCGAAGCTGTGCGACCCAACAGGCACTTTGGTGTTCAGAGCGAGGCCAGATCCAATGGCCAAATTCCACAGGTTGACAGCAGATCTCCGTTGCTGCCTCTGATTATACCCACAGCTCAGGTGTCAGAAAGCCAAGGGCAGGTCTGTGTAGAAGCGGAGAATTCAGCGCAAGCTCTTCATGCAAACTACGAGGAGTCACTGAGAGGGAAAAATATGTTCCCGCAGCCACCCTTTGGACACAACCACTTTCTAGGAGCTGTTCCAATAGCGCCTCCTTTCTTTCCTCACTTTTGGTATGGGTACCCAGTTCAGGGTTTCATTGAGAATTCAGTAGGGAGACCCAATGTTGTCATGTCACCTGAGGACAAAGAGGCAGCAGCTGGCACCTCTGCCAGCATGTACATGGGCAAAGAAAGTAGCGCTCTGGTGCCTGGGGCGAACTGTGTGGAGCAGCTCCAGAAGAACAACAGCAGTGGCAGCTCCAACACCATCCCTTTCCCTGTGGCTGGTGCGGGCAGCCAGTGCGGTGCCCCAAAAGACACTTCAGCCAGGGCACCTCAGCTGGAGCAGACTTGTCCTGTGGCTTCACCCAAGCAGAAACCAGCTGGGCAGCAGCACCACACTCCACAGGCACAGGGCACGGAGAGGCCGCCAGCAGCGCCCAGCTCTCAGTCACTGCTGGCAGAGCCTCCAAGAAACGAACTGAAAACCAGCATTCCCGGCCGCAAGGAGAAGACTGGTAAAGGTAGGGATTCCAAGGGTGTTGGTAATCTGCATATGGAAAGCAGGGCACAGAGAACGAGGGAAGAGAGCTCCGAGGATGAGAGTGAAGTTTCCGACATGCTGAAGAGTGGTAGATCCAAGCAGTTCTATAACCAGACTTACGGAGGAGGCAGAAGGCCTAGACTGGAGAGGGGTTATTCCAGCAGAGGAGGATACCAGTTCCAAAGAAATGAGGAGGCCTGGAAAGGACCACCTGGCAGAAGCAGAGATGACAGCTACCAGTATCAGCGAAACTTCAGAGGGCAGCCATTCAGGAACGACAGGAGAAGGGCAGCACTCGGAGATAATCAGAGGGGGCAGCAAGCATAGAGTGAGTGGATAATTGAGAAATTTGAAATGCAAAATATAATTTAAAGTAGCAGTTTAAAATCTTAATTTCTTTTTAGTCAAGTTCAAGGATATGTTGAACTTTTCGTGAGTGAAGACTAGGAGGACGTGAAGTCTTAACATAGGGTTTTTGGGGGTTTGTTTGGCTTAGCAGTTTTTCCTCAATGTCAAATTAGAAAAAAAACCAATCTAGGTTTAGTGTTTTGGTAATTTTTTTCCCCACAAAGGTTTGCGTTTGTGATAGAAGATGGGTATGTATGTTTACTAGAGTGACAAATTATAGCATTTGACGTGATTTAGATTATAAAATTGACGATAATATTGCACCAAATATAAATGTATATTTTATCATACAATGCCTTAGTTCTGAACTGAGCTAAAGGAATTCTCAGCCTACTGCACTGTTGTCTCTGATGCTTCCAACCCAAAGGCCTTTCATCTCAAAAAGAAAAAATATCTGTCAAACTTGAATGTTTCTCTTGTGTATTACACATATGGCAGCCAGCTAACCCTGTGTCTTAGGTATGTTGTATATAGTTCTTTTCATAATCATAGGGTATATTTTTGAAATTTAAAAAGCATTTATTTGGTGAAATCAAAATCAAGACAAGCAGTCAAGAAATACCTGTGTATGAACTGATAAGAATGGCTGTTTCCACCATGGATTCTTCTTAAAGCTGGTATGACTAGAATGGTGCCTATACCAACTGAATAATTACAAAGACAATAAAAATGTAGATGCTATGCATTTCCAAAATAATTCTGCATCTGTTATAATAGCAGAAGTTTTTTTAATGCCACTTTAACACTAATGCACTGACAAATCCTAGATATTTTGTGAGGAGATGCATAAAGTACGTGTTACGTTTTTTAAGTTTGTACGATTGAGCTACTGTTCAGTATTCCTTTGTTGTTGCACTGTTGATGTTTTGCATGTACAGCTCCTTGCTGGAACTACTTTAAAAAGCAAGGTGGGGAGTCTCTGTGTGCTCTGCTCTTCCCTACAATTCAGAAGAAAGTGGCTTCTGCCTTATATTTTTACACTGTGTCAGAGTTCTGATGCTGTTTCTTCTGACCCCGATTACAATCTCTGCAGTGTTCCTGTTGCCTTTGCCATTTGGATGTTCAGCTGTCCAGACCTGGAGAGTGCAGTGTGCACAGTATTCACTCAGCTCTGTTGCTCTGTAAAATTTACCTGTTGTGTATATTTTTATATCTCTGTATACAGTAGCATAGGTGATGGTACCCCTTCATTCGTGTCTGAGATTGTGCACCCTTGGTGAGGAAACCAGAGTGATAGTTACATGATAAAGAGTTTGTTTTCAGATGCATGCTGTGTATAAACCCCTAATTAAAATAAACGTTTGTCTTTTCACTTTCTTTCTATATTACGTTTACATTCTTAAACCTGTTGCAATGACGTTAAAAGAACAGTGTTGTTCTGATAGAGCCACTTGTAGACAGCAGCAGAACGATGAGTAGCACCTTGCAAGCTGGAATCAAAAAGGGGGCATAAGCTGGGTTTCTAGTTCTTATTTGTGGTGGCAGAGGTCCTGCTTTCACATTTGTTTTTTTTTTTTTTCCCCTCTCTTCCATTCAAAAATATATTCAGGATTTCAAAAGAGGCAATCTTAAGTTTTTCAGGTTGAGAACTAAGCAAGCACTGAGGGATTTAACAGTTGTTACCGTTGTGGTTCTCTGTTTACCTCAGCTACTTTCAGAAACTTAAAAGGGACTGCTTTTTGTGTTTACGGGTAAATTTTAAACTTTAACTCCAGTTGCACTCCAGATTTGTCTAGCAGTCACTGAAATAATCGTAACACTTCCTACAGAAAGTTGTTCAGGAAACAATGGTGAAGAGAGGAATGGCAGTAACTGGTAGGGACTTGCTTTTAGAATTTACTTTTGACAAGTGATAAAGTATTTCAGCTGAGCCTGTGTCCTGCCTCGCTACGCTAAAATAAAAAAGGACTAACCACTCTGTTCTGTAACTTGTGAGGCAAAAATGTAAATAAGGAACAAAGCCACAGTTTCTGTCATAATGTTTTTCACATCCTAATCAATGAAGGCAGACCCAGAGAACTGCTGAATGGAAAACATCCTTTTAAGATGCACAGCTGGAATTTATTTTTACAAGTCTGCAAAATTTAGGTAGGAACCTCTAAATTTCCCTTCTGGCTCCCTGAAGGACCTTAATTTATATGGAAAAAAGTTTCTGACAAGCTATTTTTTATTTACCTTCACTTTTGCCTATAGTAAGGATCAAAGCTTGTACTTTTTCCTAAAGTAATTCCTGCATCTTAGCCTTATAAAAACTTCATCTTTCCATGAAAAGATGGCATGGAAGAATGAGTTGGAAAGATTGAAAGGATGTTAATATTTCTTTAAGATTATTTAACTGATTATTTTCCTGTAACTAGGTCTGAGAATAGATGCACAGGGACAGAAGATTAAAAAAAGATGTACCTGCCTGCTGTTATATTTGTACTGCATCTTTTGTGTGTGCTACAGTATGAGGAAAGGGGGATGTGTGTCACATCATATAAATATACACACTTCTGAAATAGGAATTCAAGAAATGCTGCAGTGTCACAGAAGAGTTGTAAGTTAGGTGGATATTTATTTATGAAACCCTCATCCAGAGAGATTCAATCTCTTTAAAAGAGGAGTTGCTCATGTAGCTTGATATTCTTGGTTAGCTTCCCTCTTATACACAAAACAGATTTTAAAATGAGGAAATTCAGTCAGTGCTTGGTACATGAGTAGGATACATTGAATTGAAAACCTCCCTTAAATTCTGAAAAATCAGGAGACCCATTTGCACAATTTCAAGGTGGTCTATTTTGAAATCATTACACTGAAAATATAGGGCTGTGTCACCAAAATATAGAAAGTGGCAGTTTTACTTGGACTAGGATGTATACTGCTACTGATCTTGGATGTTAAACGCAGCAAGAGTTTTTAAGCTCCAAAAGATTAAGCGTTCTAAGACCTGATTTGAGCCATCTCATTCACAGCTGTTTAGATTCCAATATGCATGTCTATATGCCAGTTACAAAGATGCTCAGATTCCATATTTAGTCATCCAGGAAGAAGTAGTTTCCACTCTTCTTTTGTTCCACATCCTTAGGAAGAGAAAAAAGGTCACCGTTACTTGAAGTAGTCTTTGGCAGACTTGAGCACAGTTAAAATAAAAGACACTAAACTCCTTTCTACTTTCCTTACTGTTTTTCAGCACAGCAAAACTACCAGGTCAGGCTTCATTTTGTTCCTTATTTTAAAAATCTGGCTTCATTAAACAGTCACGGCTCCTTTACTGTAAAGGTGCTTCTCTCTTACCTTGATGGAATTGAGTTTGTTTATTCTTGGTCTGTAATTGTTGGGGTCTCTTCTAAAAGTGATTTCAAGCTGAGATAAAAATTTATTCATTCCAGCCAAAAGAGTCTGTGGACTGTTAAGAAAGAAGAACATTTCAGCTACATTTTCAGAGTTTTATACTATACAATTACAGGCAGCTTTATCTCCACCCTGAGCTCACTGAGGACTAGAAATGCTGTATCTGACGTACCAGGAGGTGCTACAGTTTTAGTCAAATGCTGTCTCAGATACTCTCATCTTTTAGCAGTATCTCACCATGGTACTACAGGTCTTTGGCTGGTGACCTTTGCACTCTTTTTTTTGTATCCACGTGCCTGTGCTGGCACACTGGTTAATGTACAAAGGAAAAAAAAACCAGGTTGCACCAGAAGCAAAATATAACAATCATAACATACCTTAATGCTGAGGAACCGTTACGTGCTTGTGAATTTTAAACTCAAAGATGTTTTCTTCCAAGGAGTACCACCAAAACTGGGGTAGCAGTGGGTTGTAGACACTTGTAGACTAACGTGTTTACTTAACCTGGCTTGTGCTAAGTACTTGGAAATTACTCTGTTCTAAAAGCCTGGTTTCTAATAAGGCTGCTCTTCTAAAAGTCTCTGTAATCTACATGAAATTCTTTATAGGAACAAAAGCAGATATATCAAAAGGGACAGCTCTGAAAGAGTAAAACTCAGGTAAGTGTACCTGGCAAGTTGCTGTCAAGACTTACACAAGATCTGCACACAGGTAACCTTAGTACACTGCATTCTTTTAATCCATCTCAAAGTTATTTTCATAAGCAAAGTTCGCAACTGGTACTTTTTTTCATTCCTTACAATCAATGCCACTTATTTGTTCTCTGGTTATAATTTAGCTGTTGTGCAGTTGCTTAAGGCTGGTTTAGGCCAGGAGCTGGTCTAGGTCTCGGGGCATAGTTTGACATCCTAACCGAACCCTCAACTCTGGGTCCAGGCAGGTTCTAATGAGGGTCAATCTGATTTTCTTTTCCATGATTCAAAAGGAAAGCTACAACCCTCAGGATGCTCTTGGATCACTTGAAATGCAGTTTCTCTTTATTTTTGATGGTGATCTTGCTTACTAATCCAAGCAATCTTACCTGTTTGCCAGTGTGTTCTTGGAAGGAATACCATCAAAAACAATCACACGATCAGCAAGATATGTAGCCATGATAAAATCATGTTCTACCACAAAAGCTGTTTTTTTAGCATGGAGAATGAAACTGAAATAAAAAAAAAAGGTTAATGTAAGCTTATTGCAAACCTCCTGCCAATCTCAGTTCCCTTCCCCATGATGTGCACTTTACCGTTTAATGACTCTGGCAGCCATCAGACGTTGTTCAGAGTCCAGATATGCTGAGGGCTCATCAATTAGGTACACATCTGCAGGCTTACCCAGACAAAGAGCTAATGCCACACGCTGCAACTCACCCCCAGACAGTGTTTGAACCTATCGGTGCGAGGGGAACAAGGCCATATTTACTTCAGGTACAGGTCAAGAGTTAAAGACAAGTCAGGATGTTGTTTCAGGCAACTGATACCTCCTGGTCAATGATGTTTTCTATCTGGAGAGGTTTCATTACATCAGTTACAAACTGGGGGTGTGTATAAGCATCTCTGATCTTCTCATGCAGTAGCTGACGGACACTTCCCTGTCAAAAGAAAAATGCTGCCACTCAGTTTTATGCATCACAAGAAAACAAGGAGAAATAGAATTGATATTTTGTTCCAGGTATAAAAAAATATTGTACTTATGTACTACAAACATGCTTTTTGTAGCAAACGCTATACGTAATAAATAAGGCTTAAACATACTGTAGATTTAGGGCTGATTTTCTGTGGTTTGTAGCTGACATTTAGAACTGGGACCTCACCTGTAAAAACACAAATTTTATAGTGCAAATAAGAGTCTTTCCAGTATCTTCAAATAGGTTTCAGCTAAGGTATGACACATTATTACCTCCTTCATCGGGAGTAAGTCTTCCTGCAAGCATTCGGATAAAGGTCGTTTTGCCAGTTCCTAAAATAAAATGCAAGTTACAGATTAATCACTTTTTAATAATTTAGACCTCCAACAATTAAGTCACTGATACAAAAAAATATCAAGCAAGCTACTACGTGTTTTTTCGAATGTAAAAGACCTCTTAAAACTACCATAAGCTGGATTTGTAGCTGAGCCCACCAGGTCAGGCATTGTCCTGCAATCTCAGTTCTTATAATGGGGTAAAACAGACAAACAGTGCCATTGTTACCGCTCAGTAATGTCACATTCTCACTATTAGAGAGCAAACTCATGACATGAAATCTTCACTAGCAAACAAGCAGTTCAACCTGACTCAAATCCAGTAATTTTGAATCCTGGCTCCCAAAGTGAAAAAAGGCTTTAGGAGCATAGTTAGTGCTGGAAAAGTAGCTTCCAGCAAAAATTGCACTTACCATTTTCCCCTAACATCACCATAATTTCAGAATCTGTGAATTCTCCAGCTACTATGGATAGTTCAAATTCTCCCATCTTTTTTTTCATTCCTGGATATTTGTACATACACATCTTTTTAACCTCTTCTTCATTAGCTGTCTCAGCCACTTTAAATACCAGAGATGCATCTCGAAACCTTAGGTTTTCTGTTGGAACATAGCCATCTAGGAAAATGTTTATGCCTATGACAGGAGGGAAAAAGATCATTCACAAAGTCCTACAAAAACTAAGACAAGATAAATTTCAATTCCTGACTGTAAATTCTTTTCAGGTAAGGAGAATGCTGGATTTTAAATGGCACGCTAAAAGCAGCAACAAGACTTCCTCTTTTAAAGTGTGTAAATGATGCAAATTGAATGAGAAAAATCATACTAAATTTAAGTAGAAGCTCTTCCTGAAAACCCATTCTTAGTGATGTGTGTGGGGTTTAAACAAACTACTGCTGTTGGACTCACCAAGTCTCAGTGCTACAAGTGTGGACATTTCAGTTAAACACTACGTACCTCTGCACTGTGCAAACTCTCTCCTGCCCA